TTGTAGGGACATAGCTAATGGCTATGTAGTCCCTCAGGTGTGTGTGATTACAAGCCCCCAAAATCGTTGCTGATACTACAGCTCAACGCTTACATCCTTATCAAAAGTCGCGCAAGGTCAGAAGTTCTGACCCAGAACAGTACCACGAGTTCAAAGAACCTAGGTCGTCCCACGAACTTCGTAGGAGCGTAACAAACAGTATGTGACGTGAAACCGCAATCACGCTGTTGGGCGAGCCAACGGTGCAAATCCGATGGATAACTGTCTACCCGTGACCGGATTAAGGAATGTCAAGCGATCTGAGGGAGCACAAGTGAACCTGAGGTCAGTTCTAAAGGTCTACAGGCTAGAGGACGCGAATAACTTGAAGAGTGCAAGGACCACCAGTCTCAGTTACATACACTAGAGATGAATGGGAATGCTAAGGTTACAATGGTGCACACAGGTGATTCAGCTAAGGGTGTAGAGATCCAATTGCTGGGGGCTCCCCCTTACGCTGCTATAACGGACTGTGAACTCTTCGGAGGTCTACAAGCAGTGCGATGGGTTATCTCTGCGACAAATGGAGAGATGGTTCAATTCCACTGTTAGTGGCGAGCTCTATACCGTAACGCGTATCGCATGGATAAACTGAACGATCGAGATTTGCACAGTGGCGACTGAGTGTCTCATGCCTTGGTTCAATTGAGCTAATATCTTCCGTGAAGAGCTTGAGGAATATTCGTTTCAGTATTAGCTTTAACAGTAGAGGTACCCTACGTCACAGAATAGATAGCTCATGAACGTTCTAGGTGACACTCGGTCTGAGAATATAAAGAATTTTCAGAAAAGGAATACTGCCTCACCTATGCCCCATGCATATGATCACGTCTAGCCAGTGCGTCTGACCTGGACAATACGAGTCACATCCAGAACTGGCTTGGTCGACCGGTCATAGGATCAATGGAGAACCTTGTCGCGGAGTTAGCTTCAATTGAAGCCGAGTAACGTAGTGGTTGAGGGAGATGCTACGTCACAATTTATTAGCCGATTGAAACTTTCCTTTATAATGAGTAATACATCGTACATAGCGACGTTAATCGACTCGAAGACGCCGCCGGCTTCACGTCACCTGCTAACAAGGAGGTCTAGGGACACACTCTCCCTTCAATTTATTAGCCACACACGCATGTAAAAAGAAACGTGGCTGGGCGCGCGCTTTTTTTGCCTAAGATTCGAATCTTGATAAGAAATTAAAGTTTGAGTTTCAAGCGGAACCTACAGGTTTTATGAAATGACTAGACTTCTCTCCACCACCCTCTTGTACAGCTTCGGCATCTACAGTAATGGATTGGATACGATCGAGGGCAAGCATAAGCTTATGGGCGTCAATCCTAAGCTACGCCAGTGATACCACTCCTCCGACATTTCCTGTCATGTTGGAATCCCTCTTTGTAGGTACTACGAGCCCGTAGCTCCGCCTCAATTCGGTGGCCATCAGTTCTTCCAGTGCGACCCATTGGCGCGAAGTGCCACTGAACTCGTCCCCTACGAGAATCTCAATGATGATTTCTGTGATTGTAAGTTATCGATTAATTCGCCTTTCTTTTCCCCTAATGTCAATCATAGGTAGCAACGGTGCAGATGAGCCCGGTACAGCTGCATGCTCGCACTTCCCAGGAGCAGCGTAAGCGTCTGAGCTTCGTTATTACTATTCACCCGGGTAGGTTCTATTGTGAGAACAGAGGCTCCTTACCGAAATTGGTCTGGGCTTCCCACGTGGTGATGGAGTCTGCGACTGTTGCGACGGTTCCGACGAGTGGCAGCTTGGTGGCTGCGAGAACTTCTGTTCAGCGGAAGGTGCGAAGATT